TCAAATAAAAAAATAAGAGTTCTCATAAGATTGAAAAGTAATGCTTCACTTACAAAAATTAGTTTTTTTTTTTCGTTATACTAGTAGCAGTTAAGTTTGGACCCTCTTTCAGACTTTCGTTGCCCTGTCGCATAACCTTACTGAGGATGAGATGGATAAGATGCTTGCTTTACGTAAAATGTGAGATTAAAGTTCAAAATTAAAATATTATAAACTGAGACACGTGAAAACGATAAATATTCACTTCATGAAGTTTTGAGATTTGCCACGGGTCTCAAACATTTTGGGATATAACCATATATTTTCTGACATGTAACTACAAAAGATTCGAAATTTCTCTTTCCAAAATTTAGAACGAAGTTTAATTCAGATTACTTGTTCTGTTTTGTTATAAGGATTGATTATCTGTCTCATGATCTCTCTCAGAAATATGGAAGAATATGGACATCAACAGAAAAGATTAAGCGAATATTCTGCGAATAATGATTCACAGAAATACGAATATACATATGTGTGATTCTGTGTGTGCATAAATAACTACTAAAATTAGAATTCATTAGTAAAACAACCTGCATTTCAATCAGCCCAGCATTTGTATTTTGGAAGACATGAAAAGAAGACTTTTTAATTAAACTAGATTTATAACATTAGATTTTTAACAACAACAAAAAAAAAAAAAAATGCTTATTATGCTGCGATGTTGCTTATAAAACACTTGATCATTTTTGTAAGAACCTGTCCCAGCTCAGCTTATACCTCACATGGAGAATACTATTTATGGACTTTCACAGTCGTCAGGTCCTATTCGGGATTCACTCAGGAATCTGGAAAGAGCCGGGATAGGAACACTTTGCTGCATGTCGGAATAATAATAATAGTATCAAAGTAAGAAACTAACTGTAATCTTCTTCTCCTAGTATGTAGACTAATTATAAAAAGTATCCCATAAATTTTTGCACAAAGTTTCTAACGCCTTATTAACAAAATTTCTAGCTCAATTTCCTGCTGTCCTTTATATTAAAAATAAAACCCTAATAAAGAAGTTTAGTGGCATTAGATAAACTGCAAGCCTCTTTATATATTTCTCTTTTCTTTCTTTCCTTTTTTTACTAAAATATATTATACGTTTTTAATATTTCGATATTCTTTTTTCAAGCTATTCCGTGTTCGAAAAGAAATACCCGAAACTCCTAAATACACTACTGGCCATTAAAATTGCAACACCATGAAGGAAAGCAAATACAAAAAAGATATTTATTGTACGTAAAACAGTATGGCATGAAGACAAAATGACTAAATTTGTAAGCAGTTTGGGGGTTTACGGGGGGGGGCGAAATTAGAAGAAACAGCTGCTACCCCTGGCAGCTAAAACGGCCCTTACTCGGTTAGGCATGGAGTGGATCTGGGCTTGGATGACGGAAGCGGGCAACACATTCCATACCGCTTCAAGTCTATGCCACACTTCATCAACGGCATTAGCTGTAGAGGGCTGGAGAGCCAGTCTATCAGTAACCCATGACCAGATGTTTTCAATGGGGACAAATCTGGAGACCGTGCAGGCCAGAGCAGCAGTCGAATACCCTGTGTATCGAAAAAGGTCAGAACACGACGTGCAACATGTTGTCTTGTATTATCTTGTTGGAAGATGGCGCTTGGCAGGCTCGAAGATAGAGCACAACCACTGAACGCATTATGTCAGAAATTTACCAATCTGCGTTCAAATTATCATCGATACGAACTAGGTTCGTGATGGAATGGCTGCTGAAACCATCACACTAGGTGCAGGGCCTCTGTGCCGATATCGAATGCAAGCAGGTGACATGTGGTCTCCTCGGAGCCTCCAGACACGTATACGGCCATCAGAATATTGAATTCAGAACCAGGTCTCGTCTGGAAAGACAATATTGTGCCACTCCTCTACTCAACTTTGTCGTTCGGCGCACCACAGTCGCCGTCTCTCTCTATGCTGCATTGTCAAGGGAAGCCGAAATAATGGTCATCGTGCTTATGGTCCACGGTGCTGCAAACGTCGACGCACCGTACGAGCGGATACTGGGCATGTTGCAAACATGCTCATTTCCTGACTAATGGTTCGTGATGTCGTCGTACGGTTTTGCAAGACTGACCTCACAATATGTCTGTCCTCTCGGACATTAGTCATAGGAGCGCGTTGAGATCATGCATGCTGTTCAATGTAATCCTCAGCAACCCATTTATTCCATATTCGCATGACAGTGGTTGTATGTGGACCAGTGCGACGGACGATATCACGGAAGGATAATCCACACTCTCGATATGCAACGATCCTGCCTCTGTCGAATTCCGACAGTTGCTCGTAAGCCTTCCTTTTTATTATTCGAGGCATAACACGATAATCTGAGCAAACTGCGACCTTACAAACTGTTTTCGAATGAGAAATCCTCTAATGCATCTGAAGCATTGCATAAAGGAAATCCTTTTCTTTTATGTAATGCTTCAGATGTCATTTCTCCCTCCTGCGTCATCTAAATGCGTTGAAATACTAATCATTTGCATACCCCAACCTCTTCTTCCTTTCATGTAATTTTGACGTTCGTCAGATCATTCCTTCCTGGTGTTGCAATTTTAATGGCCGGCAGTGTAATAAACCCTCGAAGTTGTAAAGCTGAAATTCATTTTGAGTTGCGTTTTAGAATTATTCTGCAGTAAAAGTTTAGTTTTGTAAGTTGGCAACAGGAAATATTATTTTTACTTAAGGGAAACGAAATATTTCTATGGCTTTTTAAATTTTAAACAAATTACGCATTTCAATTTAAAAAGAATTTAATGACATACTCTTTTTCGTATTGTTCTGTACTCTGAAAATTTTTGGACTGCAATTTTTACCTTTCCCGAATGTTTTAATTTTCATCTTTGAAACCTCATGGACTTTGTTTTGTTAAGCCAACTTATTTGAATCTTAATTCGTTTAACAATAACCTTTTATTTGCTGGGAATGATCTTTTGTGTACTAATGATTATTCTTTAAATATTAGTGATTACTGAATCTCATTATACAGTCAAGAATGACCATTACACTTTCGCTAAGGATAATTAGCGAAAGTATAATGGTCATTCTTGACTATGTAATGAGATAATTTAAAAATTAAGTAAAGAGTTGTTCTTATAGAGACTCTGTGACTGAAATCAGAAATTTTCATTGCATAACAAAGATAAAATTAACTTGCTTTTCAAAAACTTCGAGACGTCTTCCAGCTGAGGAATGTTATCAGACTTGTAACCGCATTCTTCTTCGAGAAGCTGAAATGCAGCCTGATACGCAGAACAGGCATACTTTGGGTACAGACTTCGCAGTTGCTTATACACTATCCCCCTAAATTAAGATAAATAAATAAACGTTCATTACGTGAATATTGGGGAATCATGCATTATATACTTAACAAGGCAATGGATTTTATGCCTTCAACTGTTGGTACACATTAACTTATTTACAAGAGATCGTTTAACAACTTTACAGCGTTATCATCTGGTTTCATATTCGTGAAAACTCATCATATCATTGAAATACAGCATAATCACATTCATACGCACATACATATACCCAAGGATAATAATAATAATAATAAATAATAATATCAACAATAATAACAAAAAGAAAGAAATTTCGCAACAAATAATGAAAAAGACAATTTTTATTAAAAAAAATTCAATTTTGCATATTATTTCAAAAGTTATAAGAAGTTAAAATTTATTTTATAAAGTTTATTTCTGTAATCTTATACAAAGCATTAAAATATTTTCAAAACACCATGTTTACAGTTATTGTTAATCATTACTGACAACAAAGATTTGAAAAAAGTTATAGTATCATTGTTAAAAGTGGGGAAAATCGTAACATATGTAATAAATTTACTTAAATTAAAAAAAATACTCACCATGTTTTAGTTTCTTCATCGGTATAATGCACGTGTCGAATTGGCATGCAACTGTAAAATAGTTTAGAATTTATAACTGGTGATCAAATGAGTAAATGATATTGCAGCGAAACAAACTTAATAACAGCATTTTTAAACATATACTAAGATAAACATTAACCAATAGTTGACTCCTGCTAAATGATATGCGTTGGTGACTTGAAATGCATCGGGCGTTATTACACATACCTCTGAGAAATATTTATTTGCCATTGAAAATTAAATAAATGAATAAGTAACTAGTCTGTCTTCTATTATTTTTATTCTTTTCAGATTTTTTATTGGGCAACATTCATCTATCAGAGTATATTCTTGTCATAAAATATCCAAAAGAATATATTGTTACGGATTTGGTATTTAAATAGCTTATGTTAGTTGAATTATAAATTAAATTGTTTTATTCCCCGTGCAATGCAGCGCGTGATGAATATTAAAAGAAAGCTAAGCCGGAAAATTGAAAATATACAAGAGCGCGTGCATGTAACATTTAATAAATATCTCTTTTTAATTTCGAGAAAGTACTAGAAAATTCTCGCGCGCGATTTTAAAATCTTATAAAAGGAGGAAAACCTCTTAGGTTACTTAGTTTGTTGTTGTTTTAAAGAGTTTGTTTAGAAAACTGCTCTTGTTAACTGTAGCGAATTCGCGGATCAGCTTTCTTTAGCTGTTTTGAATTAAGTTCTCTTGAACGTTTGAGTAGTTAGAAGATAACTACTTTGATATATTGTGATACTGCACGATTATTTGAGGACATTCAATCATATTTGTTGTGATAATAATAAATTTTCTTCATTTTTCATCGGACTTGTGCATTCATTTCGTAACGAACTTAGAATTCTTCTTTTAGAAATTAAGTGATTCTTTATTTGAATTATTTACACAATATTTCGATCTAAATGTTATCTTTACAGAAGGAAGAAAGATTTTTGTCCCTTAAATTACTGTGAAACAGAAATGAAGGTAAGAGACTTTTCGATTACACTGGATGCATTTGGTAGCTTAGTCTAAAATATTAAAAAAATTACTCTAATTAGATATAAACTTCTTTATCTACAACTTAATTTCTTCCTCATATTGTGATGGATTAAATTTGTCACAAGACTCTTAGAGATGGAAAACATCACTGCTTACAGTGTTTGTAAATTTACGATCAAAACTAAGAAAATATTCAAAAATGAATATGCGTAGAAAGTCAGTTTTTTTGTGTAGCATTGAAACAGTGTATTGTTTTAGGAGCTACAATAAATTCGAACAATAAATTTGTCATGATCTGAATAATTGGATTGGGTTTTCTTGGCTTGATTATGGCAAAGCACATGAGAGCTATCTACCTAAGTGAAGTAAAGCTTTTGAGGAAAACTGCCCAAGGTAAACTGGCTTGTATTTTAGGTTACAAAGGGAATCGCGAAAACACCTATGCAATGAGCCGTTTGCTAGGATTGGAACTGAGGTCCAAATTACTATTTCATTGGTTTTAATCACTCGACAGCTGATAAGTCCTGACTAATAAAATTATATAAGGTTTTAAAAATGAAATGATCTTTTTGTTTTTAAGACGCGCAGTTATTTCCAGCTAACATAATAAAAAAACTGAAAGAGCTTAACAAAAAATTACAGTTAAATATATAAACTGAACTCTCACAGAGGTGATTACTGACGTTCTTCGAGATTGGTTTTATGTGGAGCTTGATCGGTTGAAAAAAAGAAAACCATCAAAAGCGGTGATTACCGATTTGCGTACTACATGGGAAAATTTGCTTAATTTCAGTTACAAAAATTTCCGTAAATCACGAATCAGTTAAAAGTTAAGTCGTGAGTAATGTGTAGCATAAAATAAAAACAAGCAAAAATCATGTAAATTTTCTGAAATTTTGTAAGTGAATAGTATTTTAAAATGTAGAAAACAAATTTTATGGATTAGGTTAAAAAATTACTGAAGACCTAAACTTTGTAAATATAAAAATAACTGAAAGCATATGATCAAATGATCCAATTATTTAATTTTGGCTTTTCATTAATTATTTCTTTCCCTAAAAAATTTAGACTTAACAAAATTAATCAACCATCTTTTTATTTGTGAGGTTAAGACCTGGGTGTTTTAATTTGCTCGCTGATTATACGAATGAGATTTTCTGTTGTTTTCACAACGGAACAGCAGAATTTCTTTCATTTCTTATAAACACTGCTTAGCAAGCATTTAAAAAACATATTTTTTCCCAATCAATCCATTAAAACCCTTAATTTCAATTTGGAAGAAAGGACGATTGACTGTAACCACGGAAAAATGAAAGAGCTGCTTGACGCCACTTGAGTTTAGTTTACAATTATTAACAACTGGGTCGAAAGGAAATTAAAAATTGGGCATTCGAAGTTTTAAGAAAGAAATGAATTATTTGAAGTGTGTGCTTACCAGCCTATCAGTTATTTATATAAGTTTTTAAGCTTATTTTACATACAGTGAGTTAGAATAAAATTAGTAATTTAGAATTTATTGCTGTTTTCCAGGAAAATAATCTTTCTTGTCTAATAAAAATTGTAATGTAACTTCTTAATTTGATTATCACGTAAAATCTTTCATTTTGATAACAAAATTATACGTGTTTGTGGCTGCCTTAAAACACTTGAATTCCAGTTAGGAAAAGCTCATGTTTGGAAATGTTTGATATTTTAATCATCATTACCAATGATTACTTATGTGCTTAGAAATAGTAGTCATTTTCAGAAGTGTCCGTTACGGGAGGTAATCACGAAAACAAGTTTCATTGTGCATATGCATTGCTCATTTCGTTCCATTGAAATCAAATAGGCATCGCAATGAAACAAGTCATACGAATTCTTTAAGTATTTGGAAAAATAATATTCTGCAGTTTAACACCTTGCAAGGTATAAAAATACAAGGCTTTTCCAGGTATTCATTTATAAGGTATTCCTCCTGCCTTCTTATCGTGGCTTCCTGGTGTAGTGGTCTGCACGCTGGGCGCTTATTCCAGAGGTCCGTGGTTCGATTCCCGGCGAAGTTGTTGTTCATTTTTCATCTCTCTTGCTTTGGATCTTGCTTTATTTTGCCTATTGTTGCGTGCAAATTTTAAGGCTCTTAAACACGAATCTTCTAAGTGTGGAAATAACTAATGAATTTGGATAAAACTTGTATCATCTGATAGCCTATCAGAAGAGAAACAGTTTGACACCAAGAACAGTCAGTGTGACGAACCATTTTTAATTAATTAACGAAATACAATAAATATCTTCAAAATTCATGTTCGGGTCAACTTTTACATATATTCACATTGTATAATATAAAGTCCGTAATAGATAATTTATTATTACTATTATCCCATTTCCTTTTCTATATTAAATTTATAACAGTTTTATAGATAAAATTTTTCTCTATTCATTTATATATCTTTTAGTTAGAAATTTTCAACTTCACTGTTATTAACATTTTAATTAAAATCTAAAGATGTTTAATTTACTTTAATTCATTGTTTACGTTGTTGTAACATAAATTTTTCCCATTAACGGAATCAGTTAAACCATTTTTATTTAATTTTCTTATTTTAAAGTATTAAATTAAAAGATTTATATACCATTAAAAATATAAAATTTTCTCTATTCATTATATAATTTTTATCTAAATTTTCCCAAAATCATATAAATTATAGTAATATTTCTAAGTATTTTCATACTGGAATTTATTTTAAATTTAAGGATTTCATCTACAACAATGCCCACGTAACTTAGTACCTTAACTTACTAGCGTCAAATTCATTACTCATTTAATATTTCAATATTATTATTAATTTTCGATATTATTTAATAATACTTTAATTTTACTTTATGAACAATTTATTTTAGTTTAAACTTCCATTATATATTTGGCAATATGCTTAAATAAATAACATTTAATGTTAATTCAACAACGAGTAAACTTAAACTAATATCTATAACATATTATCTCTTTAATACTTATTTAATCTAGTATCTATTTTATTAATACTGTAAATATAATTTCACTGCAAACGTCACAAAGTGAGATTGTTCGTCCAAGACATAAAGAGCCTAAGGGAGAACGCCCCGACAGTGAAACACAGTAGGCCAGTGCCCTAATAATAGATAAGGCTCAGAAACAGAGTAGTACATGTGAAGTTGAACCTCTACCTGATTATTATCTTTATTTTGATGTAATTTAGTAAATCGCTATTGGCAACAGTTGAGTTTTTACATCTACGTTTTCGAGTTTGTTCTATTGTTTACTTTCGTTTTAAGTAATGAGAATGTTTTGAGATGTTTTTCATGAGTATTTAAAAACTGATGAGTAATATTTATGCCTTTATGTTCTGAGTATTCCTTTGAGGTGTCAAAGCTAAAACTAACACTTAATTAGACTTGTAAAATAGAATTGTACTATTAAACGTTTGTGTTGTGACGAGATGTCTTTATGGATAATTGATTGTATACTCATTTTCCATCATAATTCTTCTGATATCGAAGGTAAAACGGGATATCTGGCGTCCAAGAGACAGGACTAAGGCTGCATTTTTAAGAGTGAGTGAAAAAATATTTTTATTTCCTTTTATTCTTTGTGCATTATGGATATTGTTTTGAAGATAGAAAGCAACTTAGAAGGTTGTTTACTCGAGCATGTGATACTTTTGATGAGAAAGAATCAAATTAAATCGTGCTGATAAAATAATAAATTAAGCTAATTGAAGAGAAAGCTTTATTAATGATAGCATGTGAAAATAAATATAAACATTTGTTGTATTCTGAAAATACTTCCGATACCGAAAAATAGAGAAAGCGAGTGAGAGAAATGTATATTGATCGATGGAGATCTTTAAACAGAAAAGCTACAACACTAGTGAGTGAACAATTATCGTCTAAAAATAAATTTGAACATTGTTTCGCAGCCGAACACTTTATTACCTTACCCCAAAATAAAATTACTTTACTCTTGACGGTAGTGTAAGAAATTGGCTATACTTTTGGGGTCAGTTTCAAAAAAATTGATG